ATTTAAAGTGACACTATTTGCCCTCTGTCACTATTTGTCCCCCCCTCTTCCCTTAATTCTAAATAATGATAGAAAATTTTTGCGTTTATAATAAAATAGAGTTATGCTTGTATACTTATACCGATTATTATACGTAGTCAATCCAAGCTTCCAAGCTACAACTAATATAGTTTTAATGACAATGTCTACTGGAATTATATCTTCATTGCCATATTTACTACAATAGTGTACTCGATACAAGCCTTTAGCGGTTATAACACACATTCCTATTGGACCATACAAATTATCTATCCACCCTGGAAATGGTTCTTTTAACGATGGAAACACTAAAATATGAAATACTTTCTTTTATTATATTCTTAGATTATTTATATTATTTAATTCTAGTAATATTGTTAAATTATTTCTTATCTATACATTATAACCCAAAATAAAAAAGAAAAAAATTGTAAAGTTCTATAAATATATTTTTATTTTTTGTTTAATCTAATTTTTTATAAAAAATATCAGCAAGTTTATTTACATTATTTTTGTTACAAGAAACGCCTTATATATGTATGTATATTTGACAAACTATATATTATATATACATAAAAATTAAAAAATTATTATATAAATACGCGCAGGCCAGCCTAATAATTAGTCCTGCACAATTTATCCGTTCGTCAGAAAAGTGTTTAGTCAAAAAATTGCTGCCAACAAATTCGATGAATAACCAATATTTTAGAATTTAACCACAAATATGACCTATACCTAATAATATAACCTACAATTTGGAAACAACAACAAATGGGACACATGTTTATTTTATCATTGTCTTGTGTCTCCTGTCCTTCACCAATGAAGTGGCCCCACATGTTAGAAAATACCCAGTATACGTAATGTAATTTATAAAGAAGTGACACTTTAGTGCAAAAATTTACCCATGAGGGAAATGTTTAAATAATGTTTGATTTATTTTTATATTATTGGACCTGCTAAACTCGAATATAAAGCTTAATTAAAATTGTTTACAATACGAGAAATTTTTTAAAAGTGCTGTTTTTCTACATAAAAACGTCGTTTTGCAGCCAATATTTTTTAATAAACAAATGGTAAATGTAAACAAAAAAAGTGTTTCATTATAATGTTTGAGAGAGAGAGAAAGAGAGAGAGAGAGAGAGATAAGACTATACAATAAAAAATAGAGATTCCTATTTAAAAAATTCAAGACCTTGTCCTGACACAACCCAAAGTTAAACTAATATCACCATAGGGAAGTTGACGATTGGATCGCACATTTTGCACATTGCGTGCGCGCGTGTGTAAAACACACACACATACACCATGCGCAAAAGCCGATTGCCAACCTCCCTATAATGTACATCAGATAACGCCGTACATGAGAAAAATACAAGAGTTACTTAAAAATTTTATGAAAAAAAATCGTAACGACTTGCTTTTTTTTATATTAAAGAAAAAGGTTCGAACTTTGAAACGTTATAAACGGCATCCCCAAGAAAAATTTTAGCAAGTCTGTATTCCGTTAAACTTAGCAATTTTTAATATATCAAACATGCTCTTAGATTTAAGAGTTTACAGTAGCAAGAGTAATTAAATTTAAAATCGACTTATAATACTTTAAAATAAGGATTCCAAGCTTTAATTTTAAAAAACAGTTTATCCTACAATGATTTTTCACGGAGTTATCGTCAGCCAAAGTTGGCCAATTTTTGCCCAAAATTATTCTATGCCATAATTTTTTTGAGCAGTATATATATACATATACGTATATTTGTTATCGTCAAAATCTGTAATCCGTTAAAACCCGATTTCACTAGTTAGGACTAGTTTTAATAAAGTGTTTATTATTATTATTAAAAAATTTTGGTATAATAAACAATGAGGAATCGATTATCTTCATCTGATAATTTCTAAAAGAATTTTCATTTGTTCATTTTCCAATAGACATAATTATTAATTCTATTTCAGTTTGTGCAAAAAAAATTTTTTCTAGTGAATGTCCTTTTTTACCACTTATACAACGTTCTCATTATTGTAAAACATTTACCAATAGAAATATTGTATTTTAAAACATTTTTACTTAAAGAGTAACTGCTGTATACACGTAACTGTATATACTTGACTGTATACATATAATATGTACATAATTTACATAAATATATATGTTTTACATTTGTTTTACGGCAATTATATTCTATGTTTGTTGGGTATATGTATAACACAAAATAATAAAGATACAAATTCAACTATCCCACATAAGGCATTAAAATAAAAAATTATTTCCAATAATTAAAAGAAAGATTACTTACCCATGGAAGGTCTTACAATTGCGCAAGGAAAAAATAAAGAATATTCCTGTATGATATCCTCTGCTAAAGTTTTCGAAAAAACGTACGTATTAGGAATATAATCCAAACATCTGTACAAAATTTTAAATATTATTAAAA